TCTGGTGAGTCTACGACCACGTTTAGGCTTTTTTCGCTCATATTAGCCCAAGCATTTCTTAAATGTCACATTGCAAAAAGCTTTGCTTTGTCACTACTTTTCTAAATCAATGGCTTACGTAAGATTCCTTTGATGCTTTGCAATTTTGAAAATAGTGCATCATCTTTGAACCGTTAAGACTGCGTTCAAAATCCTCTAGACCGAATCGGTTTCGGGGCAAAAAGATGTACATATTCATATTTTTATCGCCTTCATATGGCATCGCCAGCACTTGCACCTCATTATCCTCGAAAATCGGAAAATAGCCAAACGTTGCCATCATTGGAATCTGGAATTTTTCACTATATTCTTACACCATATTTTTCGCTATATTATTTCCATTACACTCTTTTTCACTATATTGATGCAGGTTTTCACAATATTCTTTTTTAATAAAAGCAGCCAGATTTTCTCGGCTTATTGAGGTCATACAGGATGTTGTCCCAGCATTGCAAAAAAGTAAAATTCGATGAGCAGGACCTATTGCTTGCTCTGCTGAAAATCAGCAGACGTAACACATCACTGAGTATGCACTCTGAGTCAATAATCGGCCACTTTGAATGGCCATCGGAGAAGCCGTCCGCGTATCAGGCAGGCTCCAGCTGCTACTCATTGTATACTTAGATGTCTGTTACCTCTCTCCGTCGGTGCAAGTCAATGTAGAACTGATTGGGTTCAGTCCATTCTTTGTCGAATTTTTCCTTCCATGCACCTTTGAAATACACAGCATTGAGCAACATCAATTTTGTGTTCGACGAAATCTCGCTCGCTTCGATAACTGAGGTGATCTTTTCATGCGTCACTTGGCTCACCCACTGATTTGCTTCCTGAAACAGCGCTACAGCTTCATTTGCAGCAAGATATATGGGAAGCCATTGTGACAAATTACCAATCTGTGATGTTTTTAATCCACGAAGCACAGAAAATTAATTTCTGAGGATGAGAGAGGCAAATTTTTACTTTTTAAATTGCACAGTAAAGACAGTCCACAAATTTATGTTTAATAGCAATGTAGTACATTCAAGTAAAAACACCACCAATATCAGCATTTCAAAAAAAA